GATGAAGACCTTCTCGCGCGTCTCGGGGTTCTTGGCGTATTTCAGGGTCGGGAACAGGTCGGGGTACTTGAAGGTCAGCTTGACCTTGCCGTCGTTCTCGCCCTCACCCTTGGCCAGTCCGTCTACGACGTCCGAGGGCACGCCGTCGAGCTGCTCGGGCGTAAACCAGATGCCGCCATCCTCTTCGTTGAGGTTCTTTTGGAATTCGATCTGGATCTGGCTGAGGCGGGTCTTGATCTCCTTGAAGCGGTCGCGCTGAGGACCAGCGGGCAGGCCGAGACCGAACTTGAGGTAGGCTTTGCGGTCCTTCTCCAGCAGGCGCAGGTCCTCGGGGTCCAGGCCCTTCTCCGCGTCCTTGCGAGAAAAGGTAGCATCGACCAGCTTGTAGATATCCTCACGCATGGCACACTCGATACCAAACTCGTCCATCAGCTTGTCGGCCTCGGTGGAGGCGGTCCGCAGCTCGGCGTCGGCGGCAACGTATTGGTAGAACCCCAGAAGCCTGCCCTCGAGGGCGGCCTCGTTCTCGTCCTTGATAATGGGGGCCATGACGTCCTTGAAGTTGGCCTTGTCGGCCGAGACGTCGGCAGAGATCTTGTCGAGCAGGGCGCGGGTCTTGTCGCACATCTTCTTTGCGTCGGCGACGATGGAGTCCTTGGTGCCCGTGAAGGTGGGCGGCGCCTGGGGCGGCGACTTGTACTTGTCTGGCACCATGGTGCTGGTGGTCAGGGGACGTTTGGCGGTGGCCGTCGCAGACAGAGGCGTTTGGGTGGACACGGGGAGAATCGAAGCTGGCTGGCGAGAGAGAGAGCGGGGAGAGCTCGTGGAGTCGCCAGGATGAAGGTGATGCCTATGAAGAGGAGGAGGAAGGGGAGGAAGAGACGGCGAAAGGCGTTGGACGCCAGGGCGACTCTTTGGGGGGTGCGCGACGGCGGCGGGGGGAGGGAAGGTGCTAGTGGGACGAGGCGGGGAAGTGCAGGTGATGTGCCTGCTGGAGCCTGCTGCGGAAGGATGAAGTCGGCGGGGGGCGTTGATGGTGATGCAGGTAGGCTTGGTCTGGCGGGGCGGCAGTGAGAGAGGCAGCGGCACCGATCGAGGAGCAGGCGGTGAAGTACAGGAAGGCAAATGGACGTGATGTCTTGGAGATGCAGAAGGCGATGCGTCGATGGGCGGGATCGGATGCGAGGCGCAAGTGACTGGCTGTGGTCAGTTCAAGTCGACGACGTAAAGAGGCCAGATCAGGGGTGCCAGGGGTGAGCTCCCCTCTCAGTGGGTTCCCTCGGCGTGGGCTGCAGAGCTGCAGGGGCTTGGCGGGACTCGGGGTCTGCGGGGCATCTGGCGCCATGCGACTTACCTACCACCTTACCTAAGGCCTAAGGTACCTACCCAAGATGAGGGTACCTACCTAAATGAGGGATGGGATGCTCCCACACAGGCTCCCACACAGGTAGAGAAGCATCAGACGCAACAATGCGATGGGCACATGGGGCACAGGAGAGTACTATTCAAAGGAGAGTACCAGTCCATCCTGGCGCATGCTGCAACACGACAGGAACAAGATTGATGTTCAATGCACAAGATGTATTCATTCCATCTCGCCCCTCGCAGCCTGCTAGAAACCAGCCCCGGGCAAATCGTACACACGCGCCAGAGCAGCGCACTGCACCTCGCCGAAGCCACTGGAATCAATCCCGTACCCAACCTGTGCTGTTTACTGCAGTTCGTAACGATAAAAAAAAAAAAGAACGCGCAACGCCATAATTCCTCTGTCATGCAGTTATGATTTCATGCTCATCTTGGTTCGCCTCGTCGCCTGTTCTCGATGTATGCCGGTCTTTCCGCCTTGTCGGTGGCCGGCTAGTTGGCGAGGATGGTCCGAACGAGATCTGTGCACGTTAGTTGGGTCGCAGGTGGGAACGGAGACAGAATTCGCAAAAAGAGAGTGTGAGGAGAACGGAGAACAGAAAATGACACAGAAAATATGACAGAAGACAAACAGAAAAGAGCGATGCGCATACCAGTGTAGTTGACCTGTCCCGAGCTTGTGTCCACGGCCTTGAGCAGCTCGTCGACCTCCTCGTCCGTCATCTTCTCGCCGAGGTTCGTCAGGATGTACTTAAGCTGGCCGACGCCGATGAAGCCCGTCATGTCCTTGTCGAAGACCTGGAAGCCGCGGCAGTACTCGTCGGGCTCGCCAGGGTCGCGGAAGCCGCCGGGGCGGTTAAGGACGCGCTGGAACGTCTCAAAGTCGAACTCGCCGCCGACGTTCTTCTCGAGGTCCTGGATCTCGGAGAGCGTGGGGTTCTGCCCGCAGGCACGCAGCAGGTCGCCGAGGGACTCGAGGGCGACGCGTCCGTTGCCGCGCTTGTCGAACAGGGAGAAGGCCTCCTTGTAGTTGGTGGATGCCTGGGCGTCGTAGTTAGACATGTTGCTCGTGATTTGGTGTTTGTGTGTGTGTGTGTGTGTGTTTGAGTGTGTGTTCCTTTTCTGGGGAATGATCTGGTACGCAAAGTGACGGTACAGGAAATGCAATGTGGGTGTGGATGGCAGGAGGGGGAGAAGAAGCCGCGATGAAAATGCGCACGCCATTCGGGGCACATCCATTCAAATGAGCCCAGCACCACACCAGCGCCGGCGTCAGAGGGAGCCGCGACCGTCAACAGTGCTGCTGTTGCTGCTGCTGCTACCACTGCTGCTTGCCCTCCCGTTGGCGGGTGGACAACCAGCTGCCGCCAGCGCTAACAGGTGGGTGGGTTCTAGTGGGAAGTGGCATGTGTTTGTTTACTTCCTGGGAGGGGCGGCTGCGTAGTACAAACAACATGGAAGACTTACCATGATGATGAGATTGCCGCGTAGTGGGAAACAGAGAGAGAGGGTATCGAGAAGCGGTCAAACTGGACAGAGAGTGAACGATGATGATGTTTCTTGTAGGTTTCCTCGCTCTCCCTGACGCTCGGAACTCTTTTTCGTCCCCCCTCCCCCCCCCCCCGGCAGGCGGGCTGGGCATGGCTTGGCCCGAACACAAAACTCACACAAAAAGCATCTTAAGCTGTGCTTCACGCTGTATGTACAGGCTGTAGGGGGCCTGTTGACTGTGAAAGTGTGCACCGAGAACGGGGAGGCGTTCCCCTTCCAAGAGTCCCATTCCTGAAACCCGAAGGGGCAACCGAGGATGCCCCCCATCAAGACGATGAAATGCATTGTGTTCTGGCTTACCTCAGCAGATTTGTTGACGCAG